TGGGACTTCCCCGGATTGCCATGAGTTTTCAAAGATAATGGCCAATGGCTCTGCAATCACAGCCGCCAGTTCCTTCAGCACTCTCGGATGCAACGCATCCGGCCCCATGGACTTGTGCTTGTCCAGCTTTTCTAAATAGTCCCGAACCACTTCTTTCTCCACAGAGGGCTGGTCACCTCCTCCCCATGCTGTGATGCCCAGCGCAGCAGTCTGGGAGCTGACCTTGTTCGTGAAGACAGAGGCAAAAAAAGCATTGAGTACATTAGCTTTTTCCACATCCTCTGTCACTAGGTTGCCTCCCTCATTCAGTCAGGGGCCCACACTTTCCTTGACTTTCTTCTTGTTGCTTACATACCTGAAGAAACCCTTCTTGTTACTCTTCACATCTCTTGCTAGCAGTCTTAGACTCCAGACTCGCCCAAGCTCTCCTACCGGATGCCCGCTTTCAGTCGCTGGCGAACATCATCCACAGCCTTCAACACTTCCCGACTTCAACAGTAAAGACATGCCCGAGCCTTCTGGGGCACATGGCTTCATGCGTGTACGTAGCCAGGTATGCCAGACTTCAGCTTTGCCCACTTCAGGCCTGGCTGCCAACAGTATATCGGCCAGGTAGAGACAGCCTGAGCATGGTGGTCACTGTCTCAGAAGCGGTTTTAACCTCCTTCCACTGGTGGTTGGACCCCAAGTTAGTGTGCGAAGGGGTACCATTTCACGCCCCACAACCTTCCTTGTCCCTAGTCACAGATACGTCATCTCTGGGGTGGGGCACTGTCACGGAGTCCCTGGGCGATGCTCTGGAGCTGCTCCCCATGAAACCAGTCAGGACTCTGGGGCAGTCGCCTTCCTGTGAGCAGCCTGTCTGCAGGACACACAGCTCACACAGCTTCCACCTTCCTGGGTCTGACCTTGGAGCCTTCAGCCTCCTCTGCCCCTCCGTGCGCTTCCCACAGCGAGTCTGCCCAGGCGGGGTCCTAGGGAAGCCAGAGGGTCCTGCCCCCCAGCTCCGCAGGCAGACGTGACTCTCAGCCAGCCAGTAAAACAGAAGGTTTATTAGACGACAGGAACATGGTCTAACACAGAGCTTGTAGGTGCAGAGAACAGGACCCCTCAGCTGGGTCCATTTTGGGGGGCAATGAGCCAGACAACCCCGTCTGCCCTTCACTCCATGTCTCCAGCCAGACCCCAACTGAAACTCCCCCCAGCCCCTCCTCCTCTGGGCTTTGTCCCTTTCCCGGGCCAGGAGGTCACCTGATTCCTTTGTTCTCCAACCCTTTAGCTCTCACCTTGCAGGGGGGAAGGGCCCAGGCCATCAGTTGCCAGGAAACAGGGTGTCGGCCATTCTCTGTGTCCAGACCCCTGCACACACCTGCCCTCTAGGGCTCTGCAATGGTCATACACCCTTAGCCCACCCCCTAGATACTTAAGAATTGCATAGGGGAAACTGAGGCACCCCCACAATATTCAGAGGAAATGTTAAGAACAGTCACACTTCGTCACAGGCACCCACTCGGGGACCTCCGAACACAGGGTTTATGGACCACATCCGAGCTATCTCTTCACATCAATGTGCGAGAGCTGATGGCAGTGTGCTTGGTGTGTCAGGCGTTTCGCAGGCACCTACATGGCCGTTGTGTGCCGGTCCTCACAGACAACACCACGGCCGTGTTCTACATCAGCAAACAAGGGGGAGCCCGGTCATCCCCCCTCTGTCAGGAAGCCATTCGCCTGTGGGAGTTCTGCATAGCCCACTTGATCCATCTGGTGGCGTCGTTTTTCCGGGGGGTTCAGAACACGGTGGCGGATCGCCTCAGCAGGTCCTTCCAGTCTCACGAGTGGTTGGTTCGCCCAGATGTCATCCACTCCATCTCCCTGAGGTGGGGGTTTCCCCAGATCGACCTGTTCGCCTCGCGCAACAATCGGAAGTGCCAAGTGTTCTGTTCTCTCCAGGGACGTTCCCCGGGTTCCCTATCAGACGCCTTCCTACTTCCGTGGAAAGACCTTCCCTCCGTTCCCGCTAGTCCACAGGGTCCTGCTCAAGTTACGCAGGGACAGAGCACACCTGATTCTGGTCGCCCCGGCACGTCCCAGGCAGCACTGGTATACCACGCTCCTGGAGTTACTGGTAGACGCTCCGATCACACTCCCGCTGTGGCCGAACCTGATCTCACAAGACCATGGCCGCCTCTGTCACCCCAACCTGCAATCTCTCCACCTCACGGCGTGGATGTTGCATGGCTAACTCGGTCAGAGCTGCTCTGCTCACCCTCGGTGCAGCACGTACCGCTAGGTAGCAGGAAACCCTCCACCCGAGCCACGTACCTGGCCAAAGGGAAACTGTTTTCCTGCTGGTGTGCTCCAAACGGCACGCCCCCGCTGCAGACTTCGGTGCCTTTCATCCCGGATTCCCTCCTGTCCTTAAAACAACAAGGTTTGGCTGTATCGTCGATCAGGATGCACCTGGCAGCCATTTGGGCTTTCCACTTGGGGCAACATGGTCGCTCGGTCTTCTCCAACCCTATGGTCGGCAGATTCCTTAAGGGACTGGACTGTCTGTATCCGCAGGTGTGACAACCGGTTCCCATGTGGGACCTTAACTTGGTCCTCTCCAGGCTTATGGGGGCCCTGTTTGAGCCAATGGCCACCTGCTCGCTCCTGTACCTCTCTGGGAAGACAGCCTCCCTTGTGGCTATCACCTCTGCGAGGCGTGAGTCCGAGCTCAGAGCCCTCCTGTGGGAACCACCATATACGGTGTTGCATAAAGACCAGGTACAGCTGCGACCTCACCCTGCCTTCTTCCCGAAGGTAGCGTCAGCCTTTCACGTCAACCAGGAGCTCTTCCTTCCGACCTTCGTTCTGGCACCGATCCTGGGTAAGGCTTGGGAGTCACCTGATTGGAATCGATATGAGCAAGCGCTCGAAGAGGAACAGACGGTTACTTACCTTTGTAACTGTTGTTCTTCGAGGTGTGTTGCTCACGTCCATTGCACACCCGCCCCCCTCCCCTTTCGGAGTAGCCGGCAAGAAGGAACTGAGGGGGCGCTGGGCCGGCTGGGGCACACATCCCGCGCCATGAAGGCACCACGCCAGGGGGCTCCACGGCCGACCCACCGGGTGCTGCTAGGGTAAAAATTCTCCGCTGACGGGGCACGCGGCGCGCACACCGAATTGGAATGGACGTGAGCAGCGCATCTCGAAGAACACCGGTTACAAGGGTGAGTAACTGCTGCAGCGGGCTCACCCCAGGCCCGGCTCCAGGCACCGGCAAGGCAAGCAGGTGCTGGGGGCCGCACAATTCCAGGGGCGGCCAAACCTGGAGCCGGCCCTGGCTAACCCCCAGGCTGGGAGCGGGAAGGTGACTGGCTCCCCATGCACCCAGCCTGGCCACGGGCACCGGGCTCAGCCGGCGTCGCCCGGGCTGGGGGCCGCAGCACCCACCCCCCCGCCCCAGGGAAAGGGGCCTGTGGCAGCAGGGGGAGATGAGAGCCGTGGGCTCAGCTGCTGCAATGCCAGGGCAGGCACAGGGCCCTCTCCCGCAGCTGGTGTTGAAGGGGGGCTGCCAGGCAGGGAGGAAAGGGCCTGGCCTGAGGGAGCTGCCACGGGCAGCCCCCCCCACCGTGTGTGTGTGTGCGGGGGTGGGGGGGGGGACGGGACGATGACGACACATTGGCCTAGGGCCCAGCCCTGAGCTCGGCCCCGCCTTGCCCTGAGCCTTGCCCTGCCCTGAGCCCTGCCCTGCCCGGCCCTGAGCCCTGCCCAGCCCTCAGCCCGGTCCCACCCTGCCCTGGGTCCTGCCCTGCCCTGGGTCCTGCCCAGCCTAGCCGTGCCCTGAGCCCTGCCCTGCCCTGAGCCTCGTCCTGCCCGGCCCTGCCCTGAGCCCTGCCCAGCCCTCAGCTTGGTCCCACCCTGCCCTGGGTCCTGCCCAGCCCAGCCGTGCCCTGAGCCCTGCCCTGAGCCTCGTCCTGCCCGGCCCTGCCCTGAGCCCTGCCCAGCCCTCAGCCCGGTCCCACCCTGCCCTGGGTCCTGCCCTGCCCTGGGTCCTGCCCAGCCTAGCCGTGCCCTGAGCCCTGCCCTGCCCTGAGCCTCGTCCTGCCCGGCCCTGCCCTGAGCCCTGCCCAGCCCTCAGCTTGGTCCCACCCTGCCCTGGGTCCTGCCCAGCCCAGCCGTGCCCTGAGCCCTGCCCTGAGCCTCGTCCTGCCCGGCCCTGCCCTGAGCCCTGCCCAGCCCTCAGCTTGGTCCCACCCTGCCCTGGGTCCTGCCCAGCCCAGCCGTGCCCTGAGCCCTGCCCAGCCCTGAGCCCGGCCCTGCCCTGCCCTGGGTCCTGCCCAGCCCGGCCGTGCCCTGAGCCCTGCCCAGCCCTGAGCCCGGCCCTGCCCTGCCCTGGGTCCTGCCCAGCCCGGCCGTGCCCTGAGCCCTGCCCAGCCCTGAGCCCGGCCCTGCCCTGGGTCCTGCCCAGCCCGGCCGTGCCCTGAGCCCTGCCCAGCCCTGAGCTCGGCCCCGCCCTGCCTTGGGTCCTGCCCTGCCCTGAGCTTGGCCCCGCCCTGCCCTGAGCCCTGCCCTGCCTTGGGTCCGGCCCTACCCTGAGCCCTGCCCAGCCCTGAGCTCGGCCCCGCCCTGCCTTGGCCCCGGCCCTGCCCTGCCCTGGGTCCTGCCCAGCCCTGCCCTGCCCTGAGCCCTGATCTCGGCCCTGCCCTGCCTTGGGCCCTGCCCTGCCTTGGGCCCTGCCCTGCCGTGTCATGGGTCCTGCCCAGCCCTGCCCTGCCCTAAGCCCTGATCTCAGCCCTGCCCTGCCTTGGGTCCTGCCCAGCCCGGCCGTGCCCTGAGCCCTGCCCAGCCCTGAGCTCGGCCCTGCCCTGCCTTGGCCCGGCCCTGCCCTGCCCTGGCCCCGGCCCTGCCCTACCCTGAGCCCTGCCCAGCCCTGAGCTCGGCCCTGCCCTGCCTTGGCCCCGGCCCCGCCCTGCCTTGGCCCCGGCCCTGCCCTGCCCTGGGTCCTGCCCAGCCCTGCCCTGCCCTGAGCCCTGATCTCGGCCCTGCCCTGCCTTGGGCCCTGCCCTGCCTTGGGCCCTGCCCTGCCGTGTCATGGGTCCTGCCCAGCCCTGCCCTGCCCTAAGCCCTGATCTCAGCCCTGCCCTGCCTTGGGTCCTGCCCTGCCGTGCCCTGGGTCCTGCCCAGCCCTGAGCTGGGTCCCACCCTGCCCTGAGTCCTGCCCTGCCCTAGGCCCTGCTGTGCCTTGGGTCCTGCCCTGGCCTGAGCCCTGCCCTGGCCAGGAGCCCCCCAGGAGACTCAGACGCTCAGCTGGGTTCAGTGCAGATGCCGTGTTGCATGGCGGGTCGGGGCCCGGTTCAGCCGTCGCTCTCGGACTCGGTGCTCAGGCTCTGCAGCAGTGGCAGGGACATGGCGTGCCGGTCCGGGTCCCCGCGGCTGGGGGCGGCTGGCTGGGCGCGGCTCCTGGTGAACGGCCACTTCGCTGGGGACAGAGAGGGGGCTGGCGTTGCAATGCCCTTGTGGGTCCCTATTGCCCTAGGGTGGGCACTAGCTGGGCACGCTCCGGCACAGAGCTAAGGGGAGCTGAGCCAGGCTGCCGAGGGGTACCGCGGAGCCCCAGGGTCACGCTGCCCTGGCTGGACCTGCAGGGGGCTCCCTGAGACTCCCAGAATCCCCCACCCATGGGCCGCCTAAATGACCTCCCAAATTGGCAGATGTCCCCCAGACCGGGCAGGGTCAATGTTTCAGGCCTGTCTGCCCATGACCCCCCAGCCCCCAAGCCAGACCCCCAGGGCTGGCCTCAGTCCATTGTCCATGGCCGCCCCCAGTGCCCACAGCCCCCACCCACGCTGGCCCAGTTACCTGTCCCCAGGTGGTGGCCAAGGCTGGGGCTGGCCCTATGAGCCCCACGGCCCCCCCAAGGCCAATGGCCCCCAAGGCCAATGGCCCCCCAGCGCCTCCCGGCCTCCGCCCACGCCAGCCCCCTTACCTCTCCTGGAGGCCCGGTGGAAGGGGCTCTGGCCCTTGGGGCTGCTGTTGGTGGGAGGCACCGGGGGCTCCAGCGACGCCAGCTTGAGCCAGGCCACCCTGGCGGGCAGCGCGGGGCCCACGGGCTTCTGGGGCCCGAGGAGGCCGTGGGGGCCGAGGCCGAACTTGAGGCAGCCGAAGGCGACGGGGCAGGGCCCCGGCAGGTGCAGGGCGCGCTGGGCCTGCCCCCGGGTGACGGCCAGCACCAGGCCGGAGCAGCAGAAGACCTCGTGCAGGAGGTAGAGGCTGCGCAGGCCCCGGAGCCAGGGCAGGTCGGGGCGCAGGGCCACCTGGCCGGGGCGCAGGGCCAGGAAGGCGACCTTCTTGTGCACATTGGCCAGCTGCAGGCGGATGTGGCAAGGGGCGCCCTCCACCAGCCGCGTCTCCTCGTAGCGCGCCTCGCCCCGCGCCCGGGCGCTGTATTCCTGCGTGCAGCACGCCAGCTCCGCCGGCTCCACCCCCCGCTCTGCCAGCTGTGGCAGCCCCCCCACCGGCACCAGGGGCCGGGCCCGCCCCAGCAGGCGTGCCGCCCGGCCCGGCCTCCTCACCAGCACGCTCAGCAGGTCGTAGGCCGCGGCGTCCTCCAGGAAGGGCACGGGCACCACGGCGGGGCCAAAGCACTCCTCCACCACCTGCCGGGACGGCGCGCTTAGAGGGGCTGGGGACGGTGACCCCCCATGGGCCACCGAGCCACGCGCAGCCTGAAGGCCGTATGGCTGAACCCCCCGGCCCGGCCCGGAGATGCGGCTGGCTCTGGGGTGGGGCAGGGGGCTGGTTGTACAGGGACTGACCACGCCCGGAGCTGGGGCTGGACTCTGGGGCAGGGCGGGGGGCGGGTCGTGCGGGGACTGGCCCGGCCTGGAGATGCGGCTGGCTCTGGGGGGCGGGGGGGGGTGCGGGGTGGGGGGGAGGGGGGGTGGGGGGGGCGGGTCGTGGGGGAAGGGATGGGGGGGGGGGGGGGGGGGGGGTCGTGTGGGGACTGCCCCGGCCCGGAGATGCGGCTGGCTCTGGGGGGGGGCGTGCGAGGACTGGCCCGGCCCGGAGATGGTGCGGGGCCCGGAGATGCGGCTGGCTGTGGGGGGGCGGGGTGGGGGGCGGGTCGTGCGGGGACTGGCCCGGCCCGGAGATGCGGCTGGCTGTGGGGGGGGGCGGGGTGGGGGGCAGGTCGTGCGGGGACTGGCCCGGCCCGGAGATGCGGCTGGCTCTGGGGGCGGGTCGTGCGGGGACTGGCCCGGCCCGGAGATGCGGCTGGCTGTGGGGGCGGGGTGGGGGGCGGGTCGTGTGGGGACTGGCCCGGCCCGGAGATGCGGCTGGCTCTGGGGCGGGGCGAGGTGGGGGGCAGGTCGTGCGGGGACTGGCCCGGCCCGGGGATGCGGCTGGCTCTGGGGCGGGACGGGGGGCGGGGTGGGTCGTGCGGGGACTGGCCCGGCCCGGAGATGCGGCTGGCTCTGGGGTGGGGGGCGGGTCGTGCGGAGACTGGCCCGGCCCGGAGATGCGGCTGGCTCTGGGGCGGGGCGGGGTGGGGGGCGGGTCGTGTGGGGACTGGCCCGGCCCGGAGATGCGGCTGGCTCTGGGGTGGGGCGGGGTGGGGGGCGGGTCGTGCGGGGACTGCCCCGGCCCGGAGATGCGGCTGGCTCTGGGGCGGGGTGGGGGGCGGGTCGTGTGGGGACTGGCCCGGCCCGGAGATGCGGCTGGCTCTGGGGCGGGGTGGGGGGTGGGTCGTGCGGGGGAGTGCCCTGGCCCGGAGATGCGGCTGGCTCTGGGGCGGGGTGGGGCGGGGTGGGGGGCGGGTCGTGCGGGGACTGCCCCGGCCCGGAGATGCGGCTGGCTCTGGGGTGGGGTGGGGTGGGGCGGGGGGCGGGTCGTGCGGGGACTAGCCCGGCCCGGAGATGCGGCTGGCTGTGGGGCGGGGGGGGGTGGGGGGCGGGTCGTGTGGGGACTGGCCCGGCCCGGAGATGCGGCTGGCTCTGGGGTGGGGCGGGGCGGGGTGGGGGGCGGGTCGTGCGGGGACTGCCCCGGCCCGGAGATGCGGCTGGCTCTGGGGTGGGGCGAGGTGGGGGGCAGGTCGTGCGGGGACTGCCCCGGCCCGGAGATGCGGCTGGCTCTGGGGTGGCGGGGGGCGGGTCGTGCGGGGACTGGCCCAGCCCGGAGATGCGGCTGGCTGTGGGGCGGGGCGGGGTGGGGGGCGGGTCGTGTGGGGACTGGCCCGGCCCGGAGATGCGGCTGGCTCTGGGGCGGGGCGGGGCGGGTCGTGCGGGGACTGGCCCAGCCCGGAGATGCGGCTGGCTCTGGGGTGGGGGCGGGGGGGGGGTGGGGGGGGGACTGGCCGGCCCGGAGATGCGGCTGGCTGTGGGGCGGGGCGGGGTGGGGGGCGGGTCGTGCGGGGACTGCCCCGGCCCGGAGATGCGGCTGGCTCTGGGGTGGGGGGCGGGTCGTGCGGGGACTGCCCCGGCCCGGAGATGCGGCTGGCTCTGGGGTGGGGGGCGGGTCGTGTGGGGACTGGCCCGGCCCGGAGATGCGGCTGGCTCTGGGGCCTGCCCCCAGCACTGCAGCGGTGCTGTGGTCGCAGCACATCTCAGGGGCTCCCTTCCCCGCCCCGACTAGCCTTGGCCTGGGCTGCCCCCGGGGTGGACATGGGGCAGGGCATGTGACCCCCTGCAGGAACCCCCCGGAACCCCCCGCCCCACACCGGCCCTGCTCCCACCTTGTCTTTGATCAGTGCCCAGTTGGTATCGGCCTCTCCGATCTCCAGCGCCGAGGCCCCACCGTCCGCCATGTTCAGGGGCCGGCGTGGGGGCTGCACTGGCCCTGCCCGGAGAGCCCAGGCCTGGGGCCCCAGCTGGACATGGGGCCCGGCTGTGAGGTCACAAAGCCGCTGGCTCCATCAGCCCCCTCCCCTGGCCAGTCCCACCCTCCTGCCTCACGGCCACAGCCCAGGGCTCGCCCAGGACCAGCGCCCCCGGCCCTGGGGTGCCCCCTGGGGGGACGTGGCTGCGCCCCCGGCCCTGGGGTGCCCCCTGGGGGGACGTGGCTGCGCCCCGGCCCTGGGGTGCCCCCTGGGGGACGTGGCTGCGCCCCGGCCCTGGGGTGCCCCCTGGGGGGACGTGGCTGCGCCCCTGGGGTGCCCCCTGGGGGGACGTGGCTGCGCCCTGGCCCTGGGGTGCCCCCTGGGGGGACGTGGCTGCGCCCCTGGCAGGGGGTGTGTGTCAGACCCTGCTAGTCACCCCCCTGGGCCTGCTCGGTGCCTGGCTGGGGGAGCTGGCGGTGGGGACCGTTGTGCAGCGGGTACGGCACTGGGGTAGTGGGTGGGGCTGCAGCCAGTCTCCCGGCCCCCGTCGGTGCAGGCCTGTCAGCACAGGGTCTGCATTCCCCCGGGGGGCGCCGGCGAACGGACCGGGGCGGGCAGGGTCACCGCGTCACCGCCCCACGGCTTGGGGGCTGCAGCCGGCGCCAGGCCCTGAGCCCAGACCTTGGCCTGGAGCTCTGCCCCATCCCATGGCACTGCTGCAGGGGTGGGGCACAGCAGGTGGGGGGCAGGAAGGGAGGGGGAGCTCCCATGGGGAGGGCAGTTCATGGGGGCGATGAACTGTCACCTGATGTCTCAGCTAGGCCTCCCCCAGGCGAGTCCCTCAGGCAGACAGTAGCGATTAACCAGCCCCCCACGCCCCACCCCAGAGGTGGCTGCATCCCAGCGGCAGGCGAGGGGGTCCCTGTATAACCAGCCCCCCCGCCCCACCCCAGAGGTGGCTGCATCCCAGCGGCAGGCGAGGGGGTCCCTGTATAACCAGCCCCCCCGCCCCACCCCAGAGGTGGCTGCGTCCCAGCGGCGGGCGAGGGGGTCCCTGTATAACCAGCCCCCCACGCCCCACCCCAGAGGTGGCTGCGTCCCAGCGGCGGGCGAGGGGGTCCCTGTATAACCAGCCCCCCGCCCCACCCCAGAGGTGGCTGCGCCCAGGGCGGGCGAGGGGGTCGTAACCAGCCCCCGCCCCACCCCAGAGGTGGCTGCGTCCCAGTGGTGGGCGAGGGGGTCCCTGTATAACCAGCCCCCCACACCCCACCCCAGAGCTGGCTGCGTCCCAGTGGTGGGCGAGGGGGTCCCTGTATAACCAGCCCCCGCCCCACCCCAGGGTGGCTGCCCTGTCCAGCGGCGGGCGAGGGGGTTTTAACCAGCCCCCCGCCCCACCCCAGAGGTGGCTGCATAACCAGCCCCCCCGCCCCACCCCAGAGGTGGCTGCCCTGTCCCAGCGGCGGGCGAGGGGGTCCCTGTATAACCAGCCCCCCCGCCCCACCCCAGAGGTGGCTGCCCTGTCCCAGCGGTGGGCGAGGGGGTCCCTGTATAACCAGCCCCCCCCCCCACCCCAGAGGTGGCTCCCTTCCAGCGGCGGCCGGGGGCCCCCCCCCCCCCCCCCCCCCCGCCCCACCCCAGAGGTGGCGTCCCAGCGGCGGGCGAGGGGGTCCCTGTATAACCAGCCCCCCCGCCCCACCCCAGAGGTGGCTGCCCTGTCCCAGCGGCGGGCGAGGGGGTCCTTGTATAACCAGCCCCCCCGCCCCACCCCAGAGGTGGCTGCCCTGTCCCAGCGGGGGGCGGGTCCCCAGCCCCCACGCCCCACCCCAGAGGTGGCTGCCCTGTCCCGGAGGGGTCCCAGCCCCCCGCCCCACCCCAGAGGTGGCTGCCCTGTCCCAGCGGCGGGCGAGGGGGTCCCTGTATAACCAGCCCCCCGCCCCACCCCAGAGGTGGCTGCCCTGTCCCAGCGGCGGGCGAGGGGGTCCCTGTATAACCAGCCCCCCCCGCCCCACCCCAGAGGTGGCTGCGTCCCAGCGGCGGGCGAGGGGGTCCCTGTATAACCAGCCCCCCCGCCCCACCCCAGAGGTGGCTGCGTCCCAGCGGCGGGCGAGGGGGTCCCTGTATAACCAGCCCCCCCGCCCCACCCCAGAGGTGGCTGCGTCCCAGCGGCGGGCGAGGGGGTCCCTGTATAACCAGCCCCCCGCCCCACCCCAGAGGTGGCTGCGTCCCAGCGGCGGGCAGGGGGTCCCTGATAACCAGCCCCCCCGCCCCACCCCAGAGGTGGCTGCCCTGTCCCAGCGGGGGGGGGGGGGTCCCCTTACCCCCCCCCCCCGCCCCACCCAGAGGTGGCTGCCCTGTCCCAGCGGCGGGCGAGGGGGTCCCTGTATAACCAGCCCCCCCGCCCCACCCCAGAGGTGGCTGCCCTGTCCCAGCGGCGGGCGAGGGGGTCCCTGTATAACCAGCCCCCCCGCCCCACCCCAGAGGTGGCTGCCCTGTCCCAGCACTTTAAGGCCCATTTCCAGCAGCTGAAGCGGGTTGCTGGTGCTGGTGTGGAGGCTCCCAGGCTGCCCCCACAGGCTGGCGCTGGGTGCAGAGGGCACAAGCAGGGGCGCTGCCCGCAGGGGGCCGGTGCGGGGCTGGCGGAGGGGCCTGGGGCGCAGCAGGGGGCAGGCCCAGGCCTCCGGATCTGGGGGCAGTACCTGGAACCTGGCAGGAGGGAAGAGTCGGTGCCCGGTCAGCAGCCCCCCTGCCCGTGGGGCAATGCCAGGTGTGACCGGGGCTTGGGACAGCGGGGGGGGGGGCACTCAGAGCCAGGGCCCAGCTCCCCCCCGGGGTCCTGGGGCTCCTCATCCCACCCCTCCCCATTCCAGGGTCCCCCCCAGCAGCCTGTCCAGGCCATGGTGGCGGAGGGGGCTGGGCAGGCGGTGGCCACCCTGGGCTCCCACCAACCTTTGGGTGGCTTCTGGCCCCTGCCAGGTGGGACCCCACCCTGTGTCCCCGCAGCAGCATCGGGCAGGGAGGGACCCTGCTCCCAGGGGCCTGGCCCCAGACCCTGCAGGCCACTCCCCGTGCTGCCCCCGGCCGTGGGGCCCGTCCAGGGGGGCACAGCTGGGCCGACATGGGGACAGCGCAGGGGCCAGGTCAGGGACGTGACCTGGCCGGCGGGAGAGAGCGTGTCTCCCCCAGCACCAGGGCCTCTAGCCGGCTCCCACCCCCTGCGAACGGCCACCTGGGGCTGGGCCCCCATCCCGGCCGGTTCCTGCCCCGTCACCCTCGGGCGCCAGCCGAACCCACCGGCCCCGTGACGCGTCTGTCTCTGTGCTCTGCCCTGACTCGAGCCCAGGCCCCCCGCGTGGGGCTGGCGCGAGCCGGGGGCAATCGGGGCTGATGGGCCTGTTGCGTGGAGAGGGGGGATTCGGGGTCCATGAGCCCATTGCATGGGGGGGGGCGGGGAGTGCCCAGCGGGCTGAGGGAGGGGAGGCTTGGGGGGCTCTGGCCCCCCACCCAGGGTGCAGCCCCCCCACCCCACAACGCCCTCTGGCCCCCCTGGGGCAGAAGCTGAGAATAACCCAGGTTCCGTACGGACCCCCAGCCAGGGGGCTGGTACCAGGGGAGCTGCCCCACAGCTGCCTCGGCCCCCTCATTCCCGTGCCAACATGCCAGAGCAACGTGGGGGGTATTTATTATCGTTATGCAAATATATGCAAATTAAGTGCAGCCCACAGCCTCCTGAGACATTGTAACAGCACCAGGTACAGCCCCCAATTGAGCAGGACCCAGGCAAGGAGGGGAGAGGAAGGGGGCGAAACGGCCCCAGCCCCCGGCCTGGCTTCAGCGGCTGCTTCCAGTCACTGACACTGCCAAAATAACAACCCCCCCAGCCCCCCCCGGCGCCCCTCACTCCCGACCCGCAGCCCCCTGGGCTCCCCCCAGCCCCCCTGGCGCCCCTCACTCCCGACCCGCAGCCCCCTGGGCTCCCCCCGGCTCCCCCGGCGCCCCTCACTCCCGACCCGCAGCCCCCTGGGCTCCCCCCGGCACCCCCGGCGCCCCTCACTCCCGACCCGCAGCCCCCTGGGCTCCCCCGGCACCCCCGGCGCCCCTCACTCCCGACCCGCAGCCCCCTGGGCTCCCCCGGCGCCCCCCCACTCCCGACCCGCAGCCCCTGGGCTCCCCCGGCCCCCCGGCGCCCCTCACTCCCGACCCGCAGCCCCCTGGGCTCCCCCCGGCTCCCCCGGCGCCCCTCACTCCCGACCCGCAGCCCCCTGGGCTCCCCCCAGCCCCCCTGGCGCCCCTCACTCCCGACCCGCAGCCCCCTGGGCTCCCCCCGGCTCCCCCGGCGCCCCTCACTCCCGACCCGCAGCCCCCTGGGCTCCCCCCGGCGCCCCTCACTCCCGACCCGCAGCCCCCTGGGCTCCCCCCGGCTCCCCCGGCGCCCCTCACTCCCGACCCGCAGCCCCCTGGGCTCCCCCCAGCCCCCCTGGCGCCCCTCACTCCCGACCCGCAGCCCCCTGGGCTCCCCCCGGCTCCCCCGGCGCCCCTCACTCCCGACCCGCAGCCCCCTGGGCTCCCCCCGGCGCCCCTCACTCCCGACCCGCAGCCCCCTGGGCTCCCCCCGGCCCCCCTGGCGCCCCTCACTCCCGACCCGCAGCCCCCTGGGCTCCCCCCGGCGCCCCCCACTCCTGACCTGCAGCCCCCTGGGCTCCCCCCAGCCCTGCCAGTGCCCCTTCCCTCATTTTGCTTAGGGGAGCAGTCTCTGCCTCATCGCCCCGTCTGTGCCGAGGACCCCCTGCCCCGGGGTGCAGCCCTCCTCCCCAGTCCATGGCAGCTTGTGCCAGCCAGCAGCCGCTGCAGGTCCTGTCTCTGCTCGGCCTCGTCTCCGGCCCGTGGGGCTGTTCTCCGTGGGTGGCTCCACCTGCAAAGGCAATGGAGGTGGGGGGCCCCCGCGGCCCCCACCCAGAATAATACCCCCCAGCAGCACACCTGCCCCTGGCTGGAACCGGCTCCTGATGCTGCCAGGGCCCCCACAGATAACCCAGCCCGGTGCTGCCCCCCGCCCCCCAGCCCCTGTGGGGGTGGCCCTGCCCCCTTCACCTTCACAGCGGCGTCTCCTTTCGGGGGTCGCTGCGGCAGGTGGGCCCCTCGAAGCACAGCTTGACGGCTCGCTGCAGGCACCGCTGGGGGTCCGGCGTGGCGAGGGAGGTGAGAGGGAGGGTCCGCGTCGGCCCCTGCCTGGCCAGGGCAGGAGGCCGTTGGGCTTGATGTCCCACTCGGG